AGTAAATCACCATAAAAAGTTCACGGCGGTCACACCCCCATAAAAAGTTATGAGGTTGCAAAGTTCTGTAATTTTCCAATTTTCATACACTATAAAGTCTAATAAAATTTAATAGATTACTCATTATTACTAATTATCCANTCTTTCCTATCCTGAGCTAAACTTCGCATTTCCCTAAAACTAGAACAACCCACATCCTTAACTATTAGCGAATAGTAATCTAATCTAGGTCTATCTCTACCCCTCCTAACTCTCGTTTCTGCCTCTAATATGTCTCTGACTAGACCTTCATGCCTGAGAAGGTGTCCTACCAACCTATTTCGCCTATTTCTTATTGACTTCCATAGAGTCCTCTGTTCTATTCTTTTTAATACCTCTTCATTTTTAACCCTCTCTATCCACCCTATCCTCATCATTCGCCTGTAACGTCACATTTTGAACGTTTCTAAATTTTTCTTTTCCGCAGTGTCCACATTCCATGTTTCGCACCCGTACAGCGCCTTGCTCTAAACATACACCCCCAACAATCTTTTTCGAATTTCTAAATTAACCGTTTGCGAACAAAGAAGTGACTTCTTTTTATTGAAGGTGGCTCGACCCTGCGCTATCCTCTGCTTTATATCCCTACTACTCCTTCCGTCCTGACTTATTTGACTTCCTAGATACCTAAAATCAACCACTTCTTCTAATTTTTCGTCTCCTATCTAATATTTAATTTGGCAAGTAGGTTGTAGGGCTTTGTCAAGCATTAACCACCAAATAATTAGATACAGTTAGCAGCAAATATTTGACATTTTCTTCTTCAAAATTGTTTAGCATCAAGGGTATGGTTAATAAAAATTAGCTTCAAAATCAATAATAAAAGGAATTTCAATGAATAGCTGTTTTTTTAGGTAATTTTAGGTAAGTACATATATTGTCGTTGAGAGCAATTTTTATCCGTTATTATTCCAATTTCTCGTCTTAAACGAGTCAATTGAAAAGCATTTTTATCCAATTTATCTGGCGGGCGATCTCATCTTCATCATCTCAATTCATTTTCTATCAAAGTTGTAGTTTTGTACGCTGAAAATTGGTGCTCGTCTAAAGTTACCGACGATGCGATACTCCGCAAAGCGAACCAGAACAGCAATCTATTTCGAGTAACCGTGACTCTATCGAATCGGTTCGATATCGAAAAAGCATAAAATTTTAAATGATCAAAGACCAATAAACCATTCGGCTACTAGGTATATAAAGACGTGTTCGTGGATAAAAAAAATTAAAATGTACCTTCGACTACATCTAACGCTAGGTGTAAAAATGAAATTTAAAGTTATCTGGATGAAAAGAACTTTTTTGAGACAATTGATTACTATTTATATCTTAATGATAATGGGCAAATATACAACAGTAATAACGTCGTAAATAACTAGTTGTAGTAAAACTATACGTAATAACCGATTAGTTAAAAAAAACACAACAAAAATAAATATTGAAAACACAACAAAAAACATGTTCAATTTATTTTTTAAAATTGTTAAAAAAATTCACTCATAAAAATCCTTTATTTATCGTTCCATTTTTATGTCTTACCTATTTTATTTCATTACCTATTTTTAATAGCTTTATTGATCATAAATCTAATTTCATTGCTTTTGATATTAGCAGTAACCAACCTATTAGACTATAGAGGTAGACTAGAATTTCATTAATCTTGACCTTAAACCATCGGCCGTCCCTATTAGTTTGTCTAAAGTTCCCCATCTGGTTGCATAATGGTTAACAGCAGAGCTTCGAAATAGTAATATCAAAAATTGTTGAGCCCAATCGAATCAAAAGACCCTATACAAGTTTTTGTAACTTTTTTGTAACAATTTTAAATAAAGCTATTGAAAGTCGGAATGGTTATCGATGAAAAGCTCAAAAATTAAAGAAAAGGCATACAATAAGAGGTCGATAGTCACTATTTAACAAAAATTGTGCTTCAATTTATAAAGTTAGGACAGTCAAACTTTTAAGTAGTGTTTGAACTTTTTAACTACGTTAATTGTGTATGACTATACAAAATCCAGATTGTTTTCAAGTTTGTTCTTAATTTAGGGTGACATCCTACTCCATATTTAACATTTCAATAATATTATGACAATAATGAAAATAAATTCTTGTACATTAAGGAGTTGTTCCTTCGTGAATTCACCAAACACATTTTCAAACGAAAATTTAATGGTGCGATTTAGTAGTTGTACAATCAAATTAAAATATTCGTTTGAACGCACAATGGCGTACATTAATGTACATTCCTGTACCTATGTGGAGCCTTAAGGATGTTTGGGAGGTATATCAAAATGCTACGAGACAAATAAAAATTTGGAAGAACGTTCCTCATTCAATTCTAAAACTCCTGTAAAAATTACAAATCGATTCACTAAACCGTTAAAGTTATTGAAATTTCAAAAAATTGCCATTTTATGGAGATTCGTTAACCGAACAGATTAAATTTATTTTTATTAACAGAAAAAAAGCTACCAGAAATTTCAAACTTTTATAATAAGTAACTTGACCTCTGGAGAATCACTTTAGCATAAGGTTATTCAAATTCACTGAATTGTTATCGAGGAAAAAATGAAAAATTAGCTGAAAATCTCGTATTTACTTGATAATGTAATGATAATATTTATAATTGTCTGAAATAAATGCAATTTTAAAGTTTTAATTATTATTTAAACATATTAAAAAGTATATGCTCATTATTAATAGAGGTTGAAACTAAATATTTTTTTGTTTCGAAGTTGAAATCAAGGTATATTCACTGCCAAAAGTCAGTTAAAAATTTTCCATATTATTCGTTATTTCTTATTTTATTCAAAGTTTTTGGTCAAATTCCAAATTTTCTCTCAAATCGTATACTTTTTTTAGTATAGATAGTATTTATTTACCTCATGATATGCTGCAAAACCTAATTAATCAGTAATTTCTAATTTTATGTACTGTTGTCTCCGATTGTACCGCCCCAACATCCTTAAGTGTTCATTTCTACTTTTGAATTTGTAAAAACTAAACTGTGTCCGCGACTGACTGTTCATTCTTAGCTTTTAATGCCAACTGTCCGAGATTAAAAGCGTTTTTCCGAGCGAGTTGGAAAAGAAGTGAGTAAGAGACGAGGGTAAATCAATCAGGCGGATTACAAAGTTTTTCCAAGAAAAATAGATTGCCTTTCAACGATAAAGTAAAAAAGTCTAGCTTGCCTAAGTAAGTAAAACTAGAAAACTTATAAAGCAACTTTTCCCCGTTCGATTAAAGCATTAAAGAATCAGAACGATTTTAATTGACCGTATCTTACTTTGCAGATGACCACTAGTTGTATCAGGTAAATGTATTTTAACATTGTTTCATTAGATTATAGGTATAATTGATCAGTAAAAAAATAAAAGCAATTTCAAATCAATTACGCATTTCAATAATTCATTATTTCCAATAAATGTGTTGGTAACTGCACAGGGCTGTTATTTTTGATTAATTTGAACGTTCAATTTATTGAAAACGTTCAACTGGAACAAATAACTAGGTACATTTTAAAATTTCAAACATGCAAAACTATATTCAAAAACGATATTGCCATAAAGCATTTTCTGCAAATGTGTTTGGAATTGGTAAAAATAACATTTTAAAATTTAGGTGGAATTTAAATGATAATCGCTGTTTAATTCAAACTGATGCTGATTCGTCGATTGGAGTTGCTTCCTAACATTTCGCTAGAACGAGTGGCTAGCTTCTTCAGAGGTCTTTCCATGTGTCTCGTCCACATCCAGAATCGGAGACCGAAGGATCTCTGAACAAGCTCGTCAGACAGTGATCGGACACTTGTATGTTAACGTCCTGAAGACGTTGAGGACACGCATTTCCCGCATTTCCGGTAGTTACAAAGAAATGTTGGATTCTTCATCATACATCACGACAACGCGTCCATGATTCTTAGTTGATTTTTCGCGAATATTTTACCAGAAAAGTATCCCCACGTTACAGCATCCCTCCTACAACTCGGATTTAACCCCCAACTTTTTCTCTTCCAAAAATGAAACCCCACCCTCCCAATATCGCTGCGTAAAAGTAGTTGCGACGACGATTCTGAGCTACTTTGGGTGACTACTGTGAAAGACGATGATAACGTAGGCATTGAGCAAAAATTAATTTATTCATGGTTTTAATATCTAACATCCCATTTAATATTTATGACACTACGACCAAATATTGCCATTTACATGCATTCGACACTTCAAAATGGTTATTTTTAATTAAAAGTTCAGAGTAAATGACAGCATCCTGGATGGATAATGGAAGTATGCACATTAGTTATTCCACCCTTTTTATTGGACGTGTTATTAATCGTCAGATAATTCCAGAAAGAGCTATTAAACGAGGAGATATTGTAGATAGGTACAATTTGCATTACAAAAGCAAAAGGCATTCACAGGAATATGTAGGTAGGTATTTTATTATAAGATATTTCTAATTATAAGTATTTATTAGTATAGAAGACAAAGGTACCTGTTTAATTTCAAAAATAAAGAACCCGTGCGATTTTATCCACTAACCGCCTTTATTTAAAATATATTTTCTTTGGATAAAAAAACTATGACATGAACATTTCACTTTGAAAACTTCAGTAAGGTATTCAATTTTATCTTTTTTTTGTCTCAGGAATTTTTCTCTGGTCCACTTTACTTTTAATTGTTCGAACAGGTCGAGATTAATCGATGAAGTACACGGAGCAAAGTGACATGAAAAACGGTCGACGTATGTGTACGTAGTGGGCCGTGATAAACCATCATCGCGTTGGCCACGGCCAATCAATCAATAGATTAAAGCAGTACTCGATCGAGAGTTGAGTTTCCCGTACGTGAAGGACAACAGACAACAGATTAGAACGACTCGTCAATAAAACAAACGAGCCGTGGGATGCGGATCAATAGCAAAAGCGAAATTGGTGTATCTGCGGTACTGGGTATTTGTTAACTTACTTGGAAATAGACTTGTCCTTGATCGACCCAGCCGATGATCATATCAGCTCCGGCCATTTGACCGTTCTTTGAAAAGCCGAAACCGACGTAGCCCAATGTGCGCACTTGCAGTTCGAACGTTATGTCCTGCGGTCCAGGACCGAGGGACCATAGAAGTCGGTAATCGGGGCTTAACATTGCCGAATGTGCCCAACGAGCCGAACGTACTAAACTCGCACTCAAACAACATAACAACACACACAACACCAAACAACAGTTCCACGGATTCTCCATCTTCTACTCTACGACGAATCCTCCTATTATTGTCGTCGATTACACGACCTCACCAAATTAAACGTCACTTCCCATTATCATCTGCAAACAAAAAGAACAAATATTAGACCGTCGTTAATCACAAATACATATAACAATCAAAATTAATAGAATAATAGGCAGATAGATATAAACAAACATGCTATACTTTATCAGAAATTAAATAAATAACAGTAAATGAATGGGATGTGTTAGCCTTAAGAATAGATTTATCACTCAAGTGTGATGTTTTATTTCAATCATCAGAAAAGTTACCGACCTAACAAAAATATAAGGCATTTTTTGTTTAAATTTATTACTATTTTGCTACATAGTCTCCTTGTAAGTCTACACACTTCTCCCAGCAATGCTCCCACCACTTTAATCCGTTCAAACAGTACTGGAGGTGTTTCTCCGCAAAATAATTGTTTACGAAAGTGATGGCCTCTGCATTTGTTTGACGCAAACCTCTATCCTCAATGTTTAGATTAGGGAACAAAAAGAAGAAGCTTGAGGCTAAATCTGGTGAGTAAACAGGGTGGTCAAGTAGTTCGAGTGGTAATTTTTGGATTTACGCCATGATCGTTGAGGTGTGAGACGGTGCATTGTCTTAGTGAAACAGAATTTTTCTTTTTGCAAGTGTGACCATTTTCTCGCAATTTCTGTCTTCAACTTTGTCAAGTAATAATGTCAGTAATGATTCCAAGTATGCTTCTATAATGGTTTTTTCCTATTTGAAGATAATCGATTAAATATAACTCCAAGACTATACCAAAAAACATCACTTTCTTTGCAGAAAAAACAGCTTTGACTTCTTTTTTGCAAATTCCTCCTTCGCAGTCCACTGTTTTGTCTGTATTTTTGCTTTGGGCGTATAATTGTGTGTCGAAGTTTCATCTACAGTAATTAATCGGCGCTAAAACTCTAAACTGCGTTAACAGAGCGTTGGAAATGATCGAACACGCTGTTGGTCTAAAATGAGTAAAGGGGCACCCAATGTTTGATTCAATATGTGAACAATATGTTCTTCGGATATATTCATAACCTCCGATATCTCTTTCAAAGGTAACTGTGGTGGCGTGGGAGTTATAGCGATGAAAAGTGATCGAACCAGAGCTTTTTCATATCAGTCAGAATGTTCCCAAATGACTCTTGGGTTGTCTTCAGTTAGAATTTTCTGGAATGAACTGAACCGGAAAATCGAGAATGTTCTGAAATGTTTGAAAATCATTATGTACGTGGTGGGAATGGCTTCTCGAATAAATCAGATATACCAATTAGAATTATCCTCAACTATAATGTTCTAAAGTGAACTGGACCAGAAGACTCGCTGGAAAAATCGAGAATATTCTGGAAAGTTGGAGGTCCATTATTTGTGGGTAGTAAAAGTGGCTTCTTCTGACACTAAACTAGAGCAGTTTCATATATTTCGACCAGTTTGGAATAATGCTCAAGATTTCTCCCATCTGGTTTGGATTTAGAAATTTTCCAGCAGCAAATGAAAGAAAACTTTTGAGTGCCCCATAACAGGCATAAAAATAACCGGATTGGTTTGTCATTTGACCCATTGGTTAGTTCTCATTGTCAGTACGGGAACAATACTCCAGCGAATATTTCCAGTAAAAGAAAAACTTACGATTATTGTTTTGACTAAAAACTTTCTTTAATATATGTGGAATAATCAAATGATATTCGGGATCGTTCTGGACTTGACTCATGATCATAACTTTGTAAAATTCTGTTGCTTCTAGAGTTCCGCTACACAGAGAGTTTACGTTATAATTTCTCACCAGATATGTACGTACATACCTGTATAGATTTCGTTTCATATTTCATTTCACCTTCCCACAATAATCATAACCTATTTCCAAAATTTGCCTTCTGTAATATTCAGTTCAGAATACTTTTTTATATATAAAGTTTAATGCCAGTTTGCTGGTTCGAGGTACAAATAGAAGAAGAATAATGTAGCTCAGTCTTCTTGTGTCTAATTACACATATACGGATGTGAATACATGTATGACAGCCGACACTTACAAAATTAAACATGATTAAGCGAGGTAAATTTATTTCCTCGAGTAACAAATTAAATACATTACACTTTACACTCTTAAGATGTTGGCGTTTCTTTTCAAGTTAAAGACACTAATAAGGAATGTCTAGCAAGCGCTGTAATGAAATTTTTAATTGGTCTGAAAAGTTACAGCTTTGCTGATAGTTTTAAAAGGGGATAAAATTAGATATATAAACTATACAACATCCTAAACGATTTATTTTGAGAAAATAAATACAACATTAGTGTATGAAAATACCAAAGAAAGGATAAAATAAATTTTTGGGAACAGAACTGTATAAAAAATTTTTAACAAAAAAATTAAACCGCCGAAAAACTGAAAAGCATAAAATTAAAAACCTTTATTTATTAATCTAATAACTAAGTTCTTTAACTAATGTAAGTATAGGTAAGTAATTTTGAGTCAGCGCTAAACAGTCAAGAAACAAACAAACAAATTACCTTAAAGAAATAACCATTGCATTGTTAATTTCTTTAAATTTAAGGTAATTTAGAGATCTTTGTTTACTGATTGTTTAGCGCCGGCTCAGAATTACTTAAGTATACTTACATTAGTTGAAGAACTTAGTGTTATTAAGGTTAATAAAATAAAGGCTTATTATTTTTTGCTTTTGAGTTTTTTCGGCAGCTTAATTTTTTTGTTTAAAAAGTTTTTATTTTATAATTTTTTGTGACTATAATCTACTTATTACTATTACTACTACTACTATTTTCCCACTATAAATCATCCCCGGTATTCCTACCCCTAGGGTTAGATTTTTTCCAAGTTTATATGGGACTAACTTCGGAGTATACTCTTTCTTATTATCAAAATCGGACTATTCTGTCAAAAGTTACACGTGGTCATACATTACAATCAGTGAGTGAACAACAATCAACAATCATCCCCTGTTTTCCTATCCTTAGAGTTGGATTTTTCTTGAAAATTTATATGGGACCAATTTATACCTTTACCCTTTATATTTATACCCTTTCAAATAAAAACAGAATTATCAAAATTGGACTACTCTGTAAAATGTTATGCGTGGTCATACATAAAAAAAAAAAACAAAAAAAATATACGCGTCGACTTGAGAACCTCCTCTTTTTTTCCGTCGGTTAAAAATTAGTTTAATCCACTGAATTTTTATATCTAATTTATAATTTCTTCCCCCAAAATCCACATTGGTTCGTCGAAATCTAAGCCCTTAATAGAAAGCAGCCTACCAGAATACTAAGAGGAATAATTAAGATGTTATTTTAGCATGAAAAATGTTCATTAATTCCATTTTCACGACTTTATTAATGCAAAATTCAAGATTTTAATTTTACAAAAGCTTCAGAAGGCAGTACCAGTCATAACAAGTTTTATACTGAAAATACTCTATACAAAAAAAAATGCACAAATGTTATTCTGTAATACAATATTTTGTCAATTTCTACAATCCATTTGGTTATTATTTTTTTTTTGTTTAATCGAATTCACCTCAATAATTCTTTTGATAGCTAAGCGAACTCGAGAACAACAAATATATATTCGTTTGTCTCAAAATCGGATACATATTACACTTTTACTGTTGCCTCTCCTTGGTGGTCTTCACTTAACTCTTCATCTTCTACACGAGCAGTAAAAAGGTAAATAACATGATTAACATATGAGAACCATCAGGCAAGTGTAGTTTTAAATTTTTAACGACTTAATAAAATTGTCACCAAACCGAACGAAAACAATTAAACAATAAAACTATGCATATACATAGATTCTGCTGTTGTTGGTAATTTTATTAGAGTTATCATTTGGTGTTCTTAAAAAGTTTGTGTTGTTTTACTTGAACATAAATTAAATAAAGATTTTGCAAGTGGAATGTCACACGCTCCAGTTTCTATTGAATAGGCTTCCGGAAGGGTCGTGATTAGGGTTTGTTTGTTGTTTATATTTATCACCTAGTTGATTTCAATCGCCTCCAAAGGGGCTACTTAGTAAATTTATGTACCTCGACACACAGCTCAGCCGTCTGGCCGGGCTCACCCGCATTTATTTGACTCTTGACTAAAACAATCGAATCGACTTGGAATTTTGGTCAATCTAACTTGACAAGTTCGTCCTATACTATACATATATGTATGTATGTGCGGGCATGTATATGTAGTGTATTATGTGTGGTCCTTAGTTTGACTCTTCGCTCTTCTAAATACATAATTTATAGCTCGGAACTTCTATACGGGAAAGATTTTATCGACCGGCCAGTTCCCAACTGGAATCGTCCGCCGTGTTGTTGAATGTGGACCGCCCCTTTGACATTTTACTTAATTCGAAAAACTCGACTTGGAATAAAATTGTATTCCAGTCAAATGAGTTTTTTGTTTTTCGTTGCCTTCTCCTTTATTAAGGTGCAGGTGTAGGAGGCGATCGAACGACCAGATGGTTTATTGAAAGAAAGTAAATAAATCGAAATAATAGGGTACCGAAGTTAATAGACAAAAGATTTTACTTTGGTGGTCTGTATAAATAGTAGGAATATATACATATATAGAAAATTATAATGACACAATTTCGTGTACTATTACAGATTATTAAAATATCATTTAAAGAAGTTGTACCTACATAAAACTACGTGTACGTACAATTATAAACACATTAATTCAAATAGTCGTTCTACGGTTTTTTCTTGGTGGAAAATTCGACAAAGAAACGAAATAGGAACAGTGTAAACGCTCTGTTATGTAACGAAACACTTTTACGAGAAATTCCCTGTAATTAAGATATTAATTATGCTTGGTTGGTTTGCTTTATAACTATGATAACCGTTAACAAACTCTTTTTAAAAAAGAATACTCCATACTTGAACGTTGCATCAATACATGGGNTGAAATAATAGGGTACCGAAGTTAATAGACAAAAGATTTTACTTTGGTGGTCTGTATAAATAGTAGGAATATATACATATATAGAAAATTATAATACAATAATCATAACCTATTTCCAAAATTTGCCTTCTGTAATATTCAG